CCCACCCTACCCCAACAACAAGTGTTTGGGGCATTTAGCGCACCGTGTTAACCTAAAGATTTGTGTTCTTCAGTTCTGGGTAAGATTTCTCTATTATTTTCTTTTGGAACTCCTGTTATTTGACTATTGGCCTCCTGGATTAACCCTGTAATTTTCTTGTTGTTTACTTTTACCGTCTTATTCTACCTTCTGAGAGTTGTTTCTATTATTGTTGTTGTTCCCTCTGTTTTTTCTTCCAAACCTTTTATTTAAAAACTATTTTATTTTATTTTTTTAAGTTTATTTATTTATTTTGAGAGACACAGCGATAGCACGAGTGGGGGAGGGACAGAGAGAGAGGGAGAGAGAAGGAGAGAGAGAACCCCAAGCAAGCTCTGAGCTGCCAGTGCAGAGCCCCATGTGGGGCTCAAACCCACAAAACCTTGAGATCAGGACCTGAGCCAAAACCAAAAGCTGGACACTAAGCCACCCAGACACTGCCTAAAAAATGTATTTTTAAAGTTTATTTATTTCTTTTGAGAAAGAGAGAGAGAGAGAACACAGGAGGGGCAGAGAGAGAGAGGGAGAGAGAGAATCCCAAGCAGGCTCTGCACTGTCAGCACAGAGCCTGATGCATGGCTTGATCTCATGAACTGTGAGAACACAACCTGAGCTGAAACCAAGAGTCGGACGCTTAACCGGCTGGGCCACCCAGGTGCCCCGTACGTTTTTAAAATTTTAATAAACATAGTATTTTTCATTTCTAAGAGCTCCTCTCGGTTTTCTGATTGTTCCTTTATTATGGTATTCTGGTTTTGTTTATGGCTATGCTATGTTTCCTTCTCTCTCCAAGGATAGCCGTGGTAGTTTCTTCAAAGTTTTCTTCTGATCGCTGCCTTGTCTCTATTTCTTGCTAATTCCTTTTTCTCTGTTTGTTTGATTGAGTTTTCTTCAATCGTCCATTCATCTTCTGTTACCCATTCATTTTTCGGAATGAAGCCTTAACACTCAGGTTGGCAGCTCCATGTAGGAGGACAGGGCTTGCGAGGCAATGAACATCGCTATAGGGACAGCTGGCTCTTTCGTCAAGCATACCTAGATGGGACCAGAGGTCAGCACCTGTGAGACTTCTCTCTGGGGTGGTCAGATCCTATCCACAGACTCCTATCTGTATGCCTGGGTGCTAGCATTCCTGAACTAAGCCAGGGAGAGGAGGCGGGCTAGGGTCGCCCTGTTTGGTATTCCGACTTCCACTGAATCCCCCTGTATCAGTCAGCTACTGCTGTGTAACAAACAACCACACACATGGCTTTGGTGCACGAGAATAAGCATTTATTGTACCTCACACCTTCAGGTCAGCTGGAGTGGGTTAATCTAGGCAGGTCGGCTCTGAGCTGCAGACAGCTGGGTACCTCTGCCGTCCCATTCTTGGATCCACTGGGCTTACCAAGGCATGTTCTTTTGTCAGCACAAGAGAGCATGTCCAAGGGTGCAAGGACATCGAGTCTCTCCTTACGATGCGTATGCTAACATCCCACTGGCAAAAGGCAAGGCTGAAGGCCAAAGCTAGTCAGTGGAGCAGGGAGGGGAAGTGTGCTCTTACCCTGGAGGGGGGCGTGGAGGGAGTAATCACCTGCCAAGCATAATCAGACCTACTGCACCTCAAACAATCAGTCTGGGGGCTCACCCCCGCCTGCCCTGTAGCTGGTGTCCTTGGGTCCAGAAATGTCTGGTTGGATTTTCCTGCCCAGGCTAGGGAGGGATGGTTGCCTGGCTGCATCGTGCAGGGTGGGGGG